ATTATACCATAATATATATATATATATATATATAGTGTCTATTAAATCATAATTACACATTATATTACATTATATATAGCGTCTAATAAATCATAACTGCCTGTACATATCTTACGTTAATAAAAATGTATTAATGTATATAATTAGCAAGTGGTGTTGGGCACTTTAATAAATATCAAAATTTAGATACTTTTGCAATTCAACCTGACTGAAGACATAAAATTATATACATATGTATAAATATCAATGAAACGGTATGTGAAGTAGGAAAACACATTAAACTTCAAACGAGTGAATGAAACTGCGTGACGTTGATTCGCGTAATCCAAAGCTAAATATTACCGCACCGTTCTAGACACACCGCATAACCTATGACGTCACGACGGCAACAAGTGCCCGCCTAGGGGATGATAGCAGACGATATATCAAAGGTCAATATTTACCAACTCTGTACGTTTATACCTGTGCATCTGTTTACCTTGCCTAGTAATGAGACGGAGACAAATTGACAGGTAGATCTGGTGAGTGCGAGAAGCTGTGTAATTGGGGAAAACAAATACACAGAGGATGACTAAATTGATTTGATGAACATCGATATGAAATTAATTGGGAGTGAATGATGGGGTTAGAACAAAAGCAAGTAAACGTGAAACCCCGATAACTCGATTCAGCATCTGGATTTACTGGCAATATATGATGCAATTTCCTTATAAGGAATCAGTTATTTATGGGATAATAGTATAAATCGTTTCCTTCACCCTCTCATCCTCTTTTTTCCTCTATGAATCATGTCACACACACACACAAAAGTCCGACGTTGCACATGCGCCGTAGATACAGAGAGGCATTGAGATGTCAACCATTGAAGGTTAATAAAATTCCAATAAACTAGGGTAACCCGATCGTTCTCGTCTGTCTTTACGATTTCTTTGACGACAAGATATTAAATCCACAGTCTGCCTTTTAAGGTAGTCCCTTTGGCACCATGGCTTCTCTTTGACAAAACCAACAGACATAAAAATATCCCCCATCGAAATTTCCACGCAAATCGAGTAGAAAAGCACCCAGCATGGGTGCAGATGGGACAAAGCTGGCGTGAGGTTCCGCGTGAAATATAGACGTGATTTCACAGTCCATAAAGTGAATGTTTTCGGACCTAAGGATCAATCATTTTATGTAATGTTTGGTTTATTGTTGTGTAGTTAACTTGTTTAACCGTGACACGAACGATTACTGATGTACATTGAATAATTAGATATGACACGTGACCTATAATCGCTTTGTCTTTGTTTTTGTATCTAGAGACCAATATGCGTTTCTGTAAATGTCATAGAACCAATAATAATGCCAGTCTCAATTTTAATTCCTAAGAAATGTTTGACGTGATATGTACTAGTGGTTTTACAAACTGCTCGCCCGATTGACTACAGTGAAAACCTTATGTTACTTACGGTGTTATATACTATTTGGTTAGCTAGAAACTAAGAGCCCGACTGACTATAGTGAAAGCCTTATGTTACTTACGGTGTTATATACTATTTGGTTAGTTAGAAACTACGAGCCCGACTGACAGTACACCCGACATTTAACAACACCCCCCGCCTGACCTGGACACGGGTTTTCATACATTTAGACCATTTCGCACCTTCGTCACGTTGGTCCAAAGAACACGCCTGGAGCACAGGTCCATATACAACACAATCATGCATGTTACAAGTTCATTTCACACGTATAGCGTGCGTTTTTTATCCGGTACAAATGTCACCTTTTAATTTCCTTGTTGTATTCATGCCTGTAACAAATCTGTCTTTGAAAGACTTCAGCGCCGTTCATCACCCGAGGCCGTACCAAGCTATGCAATGTGTCACTAAATGCACATACATCTGGTGTGTGGTATGTTTGATTTCAAATACAGATTAAAACAGTGTACGTGGTATAGTTTGTCAGCCTGGCGCGCCATGTAGATCACGAACGAAACAGTATTAAATTCATCAATTCATGATTCTATGTATTACACAGCTCAATACGTTCCAGATTTAAAGTTGACTACCGACCGTTTCATTTCTTAAAATCACTCATGCAAGTTTTATAATGTTATAGAAAAATGGCTATACGGCACGCCAAATTATTATAATAATTCTAAAACTACAAAGATGGCGTTTTATTTTAGTTAGAGTGGTTGTAGGGTAACACCTTGTCGTCGGCAGTTGTGATTGGTACACAAACCATAAAAATGAAAGTCAAAATCAATGACGATTACGTAACACATGTTCCTTAAAGCTGTCATTACATTATAAAGGATGATGTCACAATGAAGCCGAGGAGCACGTCTAGCGAGATCGCGTTGCCTTTGCACAAGAATGGTTTCATTTTTTCCCATTCGTCTATAGGGAGTAAATGAAATGGATCGTAGAATTAAAAGTTACGCCCTAAATCGACTTAGTGGAAATGAAACAACTTTCCCATGCTTCATTACCTCAATCTTAAACTCTTTCATTCCGAAAGTTGATATGATATAGCAGAGCGTGCTGATAAAAAATGTAGGGACAGCACATACTCGTATAAGTGTATGCGTTTATGTAGTAGTATAGAGAACCGGTTGTTGCCACGCTGATCACGTGTGCGATGTCGTATGGTGTCAACAAATTAAGTCAATTCATACAGTCACAATGGAGAACGAAAAACGGTAGGTGTGCTAAGAAATACACGAAAGTATAAAAATTGTAGAAAATGAAAGAAAGGGAAAAGATGAAAATTCGAAGTAATAAAATGACTGCAGAAGGTCTACCAAAGGATATGAAAAGCAGAAAACGCAGACGAATTCTCGGATTGACCAGGTGGGGACCCAGTCATATTCCAGCTATACTCTGCCATTGTTTCAGAGTATTAATGAAACTAACACCAAGTTGTCAACACTCAACATCGGTTCAAATCACTAAAATAAGAGATGTGCTATTTGATTTGCTCATAGAATAGTAAATTATGTTAAAGCTGCTATTACCTTTTGAGAACAATTGATTTAAGAGTCTTAACAAATGGATAGCTAATGTCGTTTTAGCTGAACTCTTGAATGTTTACATTCAAGGTTGTATATATATATCAATGTTTACATAACTTATGACGTGTTCAAACTATTTCGAAGAACGTTTGGAAATAAATATCAAAACAATGGCCCAAAATAATTCGGTAAGAACACAAATCCAACAAACCCAGGAATTATGAACAAACAAATGCAACAAATATTGCAAGTACGTAATTACCAGCAATACGGCATAAACAGTCACAAATAATCCAAACTATTGAATTCCTGAAACAGTAATGCCGTTCTTACCTCAGTAGTAACTGGTATTGTACAGGTATACCAACTGTAATCCACATCCGACTTCCTCGGAGTATGTCTGCTAAATGACAAACACCGATCCGTGTTCTCTTGTGGTACCGAACAACTTATAATCATTGAGAGGCTTTTCACACTATTGTTTCCTTTATTGGGGCAAAGGCCATTTCACAGGAATCAGAAAGTGTGGAAACGGAAAGAAGTACACTCAGCACTGCTCTTTGAAGCAGCCCATTGAATATGATAAGGCTGGTGAGAGTTTTCCGCTAATTATAGCTGTGTTCCATTTCATGGAGGTCGACCGTTTTTTCACATAGTGTAACATAATTGATTAAGTAATTGGGCGAAACACGATCGGCTAATGGCTTATGATGGCTTCTAGAACTGTGCTTGATAGGGATATTTTAGCAGAGCAAGTGTTGAAATAATGATTATTTAATAACGTTCATAATTTTGAAAGCTTCTCCGGTTTTTCTGTTATGTACAAATGTGTAACGGTGATGATGGGTGCGAGAGTCTGCAGCATGGAAATAAATGGGATCAGTGTCACGGAGATGCTTAATGGCTTACTGGTTAAAACAGCCAAGGACAAGTCCGGATACTGATCCGATTCCAGACGATCTCGTGTCGGAGACGTCCGAATCACAAGCACCAGAACATGGCGATGAAAGTATGGCGATGCTTATCAAGTCTCAACGACAGATTCATTCGATCATTTAGACACAAAACTTCCTAGTACCTGACTAGACACTTATTGAAGAGGGCACTGAAATGATACGAAATTTAAACTCTAGCTGAGGGTGTAGTAAAACCAGACATACTGTAAGGAACAAAGGAAATGGTCCGAAAATATTGAACTCACGCACCAAGTAATCTCGAAAAACACGAGGTATACATTTCTAATTAGCAGAGTAATAGAAACAGCCCAGCATCAGTTGGGTCCATACTTCCTTTGAATGTTCATGTTTTTAGCCATTTTGTTCCTTAGAAATGCCATTTTAATTTAGTTAATGACTATACATTTTTCCGTTTTCATTTCCAACTACTCAAGAAAATTGTCATTAAGAAAGATATCATAATTAAGTTAATAATAATTATAAAATCTTCCGTTTTCATTTCAAACTAATCAAGAAAACGTGTCATATGGCCAGCACGTGACGTTTTTGACCGAAGGCTATTGATGCCTGCACACTTCCGGCTTGAGGTCAAGTCCGAGGTTAACCAGCCCTACGAATAGCAAGCCACCTTCAAGGGTCGATACCTCCCCTCATAGGGGTCACGATCCCATCAGAACACCTTTGTTATTCGAAGCCCTGATTGGGGAGTGATATGCATCTTTAATGAGCACAGATGTCGCTAGAACATGATCGCGTTGTGTTAGCCGTATCGTTTTCCCATCGTTTGTCTCCATATAGCACAAATAGTACCCGACACACTGCCAAATCAACTCATCTTCCATACGATTAATGCGGATAAATGTGGAAAGGTTTATTATAATTATAAACATGTTTTTTCATTATTTAAATCGTTTTAGTAATCCGTCTGCTTTATAACGAATTTCAGTCAAATTTTCGAATATTTGTATGCAAAATCCATTTGTCGAACTGAAAAAACTGAAGCAATATGCATATGGATGACTACTGATATTTCGGAACATACTTACCAATGATCTGCTCTTGGTGTAACCGCTGGTAAAAATCCTAAACTTGCTTTCAGCAAAACAGTGGTATGCGATAGAAAATTACTATTCAACATCCTTGTTCACAAAATGTTTATGGTCACGACCTGCATACAGGTCCAGACTTAAAGGACGAACATACCAGCAAGTTAAACCTAGCCGACACGTAATTTATACAGAGACTCACAGACTGAATTAATGTTAGAATAGAACCTGTTTCTGGTATATATCTGTGTTACTTAAATACAATGTCCATAATGACGTCCACATGTACGGGTCCACACCTATATCACATCTACCTGTAAATACAGGTGTGATGTCACAGGTGTACAATTACAGGTGCAACATTACAGTTGTCCAGACTGGTTGAGTTTGCTTCCTGATGCAACAAGAATCATCCGCTAAGCGTTAGGTAAGATAATTATGTATCTGGTAGATAAGTCTCAACCTGTAGCATATACCTGTATGGATATAAGCATTAGAGCCGCAGGTAATCGAGAGAGAGAGAGTGAAAAGTAAGCGAGCAGCAAATCCGGTGTCATTTACTGAACGCCTTAGGACCAGCTGCCGTTTTGACCTATGTATACCTACTACAAACACATCAATTTTCATGTACACAGAGATTGCGATCGATCTATGGAGAATAGGCCAACTCGTTTTCACGTCAAATAAACAAATCACATACAATATTAAAGAAGAGATTCTTAAAGTTTAAAGCTCCGCTGTCTAACAAGAAATTCATATAGAGGAAGCATATGAAAATCACTCACGCGTAACGAATAATTTTTGTTAGCGTGTGTCTGTATGATTCATGTCCACGGTCCAGTGAACGCAACCGTATCATACACGACGTTTGTCCGTCGCTTTAACATACTACTGCGGTTAGTGACGTTATATGGTTTACCGTTGATGAGCACGACCCATCCGTTACATACCCGATGTTGGTGACATTACGTACCCGTACCTGTTACATACCCATCCACGGTTCCGGTGCTGGCGACACTACGTACCCGACCCATTACCAGTGATACACGGTGCCGGGGACGCTACGCACTCGTCCCCGGTGTCAGGGACACAACGTTATCGTCCACTGTGCTAGGGACATGTGTACTGATGAGACTCGCCGTCGGAACCATAAACACTTATGTCAATGTGTAATGAGTACCATATTCTAGTTACAGAGATACACACCTGGTGTGTCGAAGGAAACGCAAGTAAAGTTGTGTAAGACAACAAACGAAATACAGTAATATGATTGAGCGAGTTGTTATTGGGGACCAAATACACCAATGAAAACTCTGGGAGACCAATCCAATCGGTTGTTGAATAACAGGCTAAGGAAAACATGTTCATGTAAGTGTTATTGTTATATCATTAGAGAGATCAAATAAACCCATGATCGCTTCGAGTATTTGGGGACAAATTTAAAAATGAAAGAGAAAAACATATCCGGGCTAGCGACCGATTAATGAAACTTATGAACCAAATACACCCATTTTACCTCCGAACATTAGAGGACCAAATACACCCATGTAAGCTCCGAGCATTAGAGGACCAAATACACCCATGTTAGCTCCGAGCATTAGAGAATCAAATACACACATGTTAGCTCCGAGCATTAGAGGACCAAATACATCCATGTTAGCTCCGAGCATTAGAGTACCAAATACACCCATGTTAGATCCGAGCATTAGAGGACCAAATACACTCATGTTAGCTCCGAGCATTAGAGAATCAAATACACACATGTTACCTCTGAACATTAGAGGACCAAATACACCAATGTTAGCTCCGAGCATTAGAGGACCAAATACACCCATGTAAGCTCCTAGCATTAGAGGACCAAATACACCCATGTAAGCTCCGAGCATTAGAGGACCAAATACATCCATGTTAGCTCCGAGCATTAGAGGACCAAATACATCCATGTTAGCTCCGAGCATTAGCGGACCAAATACACCCATGTTAGATCCGAGCATTAGAGGACCAAATACACCCATGTAAGCTCCTAGCATTAGAGGACCAGATACACCCATGTAAGCTCCGAGCATTAGAGGACCAAATACATCCATGTTAGCTCCGAGCATTAGAGGACCAAATACACCCATATTAGGTCCGACCATTAGAGGACCAAATACACCCATGTTAGCTCCGAGCATTAGAGGACCAAATACACCCATATTAGCTCCGACCATTAGAGGACCAAATACACCCATGTTTGCTCCGAGCATTAGAGGATCAAATACACACATGTTAGCTCCGAGCATTAAAGGACCAAATACACCAATGTTAGCTCCGAGCATTAGAGGACCAAATACACCCATGTTAGCTCCGAGCATTAAAGGACCAAATTCCCCCATGTTAGCTCCGAGCATTAGAGGATCAAATACACACATGTTAGCTCCGATCATTAAAGGACCAAATACACCCATGTTAGCTCCGACCATTAGAGGACCAAATACACCCATGCTGTTAGCTGCGAGCATTAGAGGACCAAATACACCCATATTAGGTCCGACCATTAGAGGACCAAATACACCCATGCTGTGAGCTGCGAGCATTAGAGGACCAAATACACCCATGTAAGCTCCGAGCATTAGAGGACCAAATACACCCATGCTGTTAGCTGCGAGCATAAGAGGACCAAATACACCCATGTTACCTCCGAGCATTAAAGGACCAAATACACCAATGTTAGATCCGAGCATTAGAGGACCAAATACACCCATATTAGCTCCGACCATTAGAGAACCAAATACACCCATGTTTGCTCCGAGCATTAGAGGACCAAATACACCCATGCTGTTAGCTGCGAGCATTAGAGGACCAAATACACCCATGTTAGATCCGAGCATTAGAGGACCAAATACACCCATGCTGTTAGCTGCGAGCATTAGAGGACCTAATACACCCATGTTAGCTCCGAGCATTAAATGACCAAATACACCCATGTTAGCTCCGAGCATTAAATGACCAAATACACCCATGTTAGCTCCGAGCATTAGAGGATCAAATACACGCATGTTAGCTCCGAGCATTAAAGGACCAAATTCACCAATGTTAGCTCCGAGCATTAGAGGACCAAATCCACCCATGTTAGCTCCGAGCATTAGAGGAGCAAATACACCCATATTAGCTCCGACCATTAGAGAACCAAATACACCCATGTTTGCTCCGAGCATTAGAGGATCAAATACACGCATGTTAGCTCCGAGCATTAAAGGACCAAATTCCCCCATGTTAGCTCCGAGCATTAGAGGACCAAATACACCCATGCTGTTAGCTGCGAGCATTAGAGGACCAAATACACCCATGTTACCTCCGAGCATTAAAGGACCAAATACACTCATGTTAGCTCCGAGCATTCCAAATGACGAAAATGTAAATTCAAAGAGTAATATAAATACAGATTTACCAGCCAAACCAAGCGTCCAAGTATTAGGGACCGATTTGATATACTCGTGAAAGCGTAAAGAGACCCACACAAGCGACCAATCATTCCATTTAAAAAGCTTAAAGTAACTTATGTCACAGACTATTACTTCTCTATAAATCATCAGGCATACACATGCAAAACTTTACAGATAATAACTTTTTGACACTTTCGTTCAATCTTCAACTACAGATATAACATCTCGACTATCTTATCCGGGTCTGATACATCACCACCTTACACAGCCATGCCGTGCTTACCAGTTCCTGAAATTATCACAGGAATGCATCGACGATTCAAACATTCTGAAACGTTTGGTGTATAATTTACCTAGTTAACGAAGACGTAGTTCGTTATCAGACTAAGCGATACACCACATAGGAACTCACCTTACCAAACTAGTCACGGTTCCTGACAGTCTACAGCCACCGCCCCTTGGTGGTTTTCAAACTCTCCATAAAATACATCGACACGCCTTCAGAATTAAAAACCTCTGGGGGTGTGAAACAGAACCCCATGTAACCAAGCTGACCTCGGTATCACTCCGGGTAAATATGTCTCTTTGAAATCAAATGTTTATAACGTTTAAATACTTCAACAGATAAATACTATCAGGGCTCGCTACGTCATACACCGCTCGGCTAATTACCTGTAGGATAGGTGTGTACGTCGCTTAGACCCATATCCAGATCTCTGTCGATTTTACACCTAATGGAAAGTCAATAGTAGGTGTAGAAAAGTATTTATGGAGCACATATATATCAAACTGTACTTTAACTCTTTTGTAAATCATACTTTGTATATAGTTATTTTCTTACCAAACAAAACACATGAACTGTTCGTTATGGGCCTTGTGGCGTTAGCGTGCCGACGACGTGTTACTGTACCGGGTCTAAACAGCGATTGTAATCGTATACAAATTCCATGGCCATACATGAAACCAAGGTTATGTAGACAACATAGTATTGTCTGAACCTGAACGTCCTTTTTAGATACCAGAGTATATGTGTGTTTTTCTTTCTTTCACACGAGTTTACATAACATTTAAGTACATTTATATTGAAAACAAACGATGTTAGTTAAAAAAAAAAGAATGGTTTCAACGTAAACAAAAACAAGCCTAAACCTTGAACTTTATCGCAAAAAAATAAAAATAAAAATATAGAAACTAAAGTTAACTAAAATAGGTCACAAAAGTCATTGAATATATTTTCTAGATTACACAGTCTCGTTACAAAACAAAGTACGGTTACTATGCTAATGCAATTTCAAACAAACAAAATTGGAAAACGGAAAAAAGACTTAAAAGTATATTTACGACACATAAAAGACCTGCATTGTTAGGAAAATAAATGGAAAGAAATATAAGTCAATTGATAAGAAATATTTGTACAGGTGCGTTCTTACCTTAATTGGTATGGGACGTATGATGACGTATATATATTTCCACTAACACTCTATGTGGCAGTCATGCACGCGCGACTCACACCGATTACTGTTGCTGCTACAACTGCTGCTGCTGCTGATACCGAACGAACACTGTAGTCACGTGACATCTCTCGCCCTGTCGTGAATCACCCGCGCCTGTCCTCAGATGCGCGAACGACGACATCGTCATATCTGTGATGTCACCAACCTGCAGTACTTGTTCCCGGGAGGGTGAGAGCACGCTGCTGCATAGTACACTGCACGGGTAAAAGTGCATGGGAATTCGATCATTCGTCACGCACGCACGTGCTTTTGTAATTGATAATAATGGGCAGCCACAGTAACGCTCCATGTTTATAAATCATCTGTCAGTGGACAATAGGGTAGGGGCTGAACAGTATTGTACCTCTGGTACGAGGACGCTACGGTGGGGGAGAGATGCACGAAACTCAACTCATATAATCACTTTATAAATTAATAAGATGTTAAATAAGATGAAATATCTTGGTTATTAATTGTCTGCATCAGTTCGGGTAAGCTTCACTTGGAAGTCATCGCTATCTCATTGACCCACTATCCATCATTGTTCGATTGCCTTTCTATCTTGAATGCACAAGAGCACTTTCTCGCAATATAATCTGACATTACTGCAATATCGCCAATGATGTGAATGTGAATAAAACCGAAAAGGGAATATTTTCATCGATGTATTAATAATTAGGTAAGATAAAAAGTATGGGGTCACCGACCCGACCACATTGGTTTTCTCTGGGTACTCCGGTTTACTCCAAAATTAAGACCCCCTACGCGCATCGAT